TCAGCCCACCAGGGGGCGGGGCTGGCTGGCATGTGGTGCTGGGGGATCAAAACGAGGTCCCTGTGCTCTGCTTAGCTTAGCTTGTTCTAAGTAGGTGCTTTAGACCACTGAGCCATCCCACCAGCCCTCTCCTAAATTTTTTTAACTCTTCGTATTATTATAGGAAGGACAGTCCACATGTGATATAATTTGAAAATTATGCTTTTTATTATATTCACATAAAATAAAGTCAGTTACAAGTTGTCAAAATACATCGGTGAATTAAAGCTTCCAACACTTACAAATTTTTATACATATAACTATGCATTTATAAATACATACATATGTAAAAGATATATTTTCTTCTAAAATAAAGTGCCCAAATCTGCATATATGGGGGCATAATAGGGAAGAAAAAAATCATATTTTTCAGTTGCAGACTGTACTTTGAAAGTACAAGAATCAATTTTATACATATTTACCCAGGCATAGTGAACTGCAATTACCCATTCTTCTCGGAGTTCTCTTAAATGAATTCATTTACCCAAAATGTTAAAGGGACTCTTGTGAATGACCTAATGACTCAGATTTTTTTTTTTTAAACTGATATTGGCCTAGATACTTGGCTTTCTGATGGAGGGTTAGTTTAGATCCATTTTCCTGTTGTTTGGACTGTTTATTATTCTGCTAAGCTGGAAAACAGATTAAAAAATAATTAGAGGTCTGTAGCTTGAACTCCTCTACCAGCAGGCCATCAAGTCAGGGTTGGTGAAAAGATTCTTATATTTTATAACACCCTGGACTTGGACAAAAGCCATAGCAGAGGCTGACTTGCTGTTTCTGCTGCCTCTATTATAATTTAAATCTTATTGGAGCCAAGGAGGAAGAATTAAGTTATAATGATCAATATGTCATGGAAAGACCAGCTCAAATGGAAATGAGCTGTTCATTACAGTGAAACACTTTAATGAGAACATGTTTTAACTTAAGAGCAAACTAAAAAACTAAAGAAAAACCGCACAATTTATTTCAGAATGTCTTCCCTTCAAATAGGAACTACAGTTCTATTATTTGTCCCAATAACTCAGCTTCCCTTCTGCTGTTTTTACTGTGCTTTCTGCTTTCTCAAACATTTATGATGATCACCTGTAGTCTTTGACAAGAAATTGAATTTTAAAATGCCAGTGAAAAGACTTCAACGTATTTAACCAAAGTGGAGATGCCTAAAAATAGCTTAATGCAAACCCTGCCATTCAGAATCTCAGGTGGTTACATCTTCAGACTACAGTAGAATGCATCCTATGCAAGCAGGAAAGGGAGAAATCATCAGCACTGGAATTGCATACAGTGCTCTAAAGCTTCCCAGCAAGTGAGCAGAGGCTGGAAAGGTGGGAAGCCCAGACGCGTTCCAGAGTCAGCACAAGGGGTGAACATTATTTTCTTTCACTTTTGGAGGAGAAGGAAAAGGGCTAGCGAGTGTTTCTCTCAGGACTCAACTCATCTCCGAGGGGCTGTGCATGCCCAGAGGAGGCGCCTAACTACTGATCTTGGTGAGCATCTTGTTGATGGCCTGCTTGACGTGCGTGGTGGAGCTGCGCCTCCGGGTCTTGCCCTGCACCATTCTCCGGCGACGCACCTCTCGACACAACTCGTAGAAGATCTCTGTGATGTTCCCCTCGCCCGTGCAGGCAGAGCACTCGTAGAAAGCACACGCCAATTCTGTGGCCAGCTTCTCCCCTTCCTCTGTGCTCACTTGTCTGGAGTGATCCAAGTCAGCTTTGTTTCCAACCAGGATGAGAGTCACGTTCTTGGGCTTTTTGATCTCATCTAGGATGTTCTTCAGTGGAAGAACTTCTTCAAAACTTTCGCGATCAGTAATGTCATAGACCAGCACAAAGCCTTCACCCCACCGCATGTGGCCTTCCCGCTGAATGGTGTCCTCCTGTTGGCAAAGAAAATCAACCATTAGCAGCCCTGGAGGAAAGCACAATGTCTAAATGCTGCCAATGCTGATCGCTATCCTTAATTACTATCCTTTGTATCCAATTTTATTAAATGTCTTGATTTTATACCTATACTCTTTCACTTTCTCCAGTCACCTTGAAATGGAAGTATTATTTACTCCCAGCAAAATATTCCAGAGAAATGAAAATTTTTCCAATTGTAGATTTAAAATTTTTGCTTTAAATTTTTTCTTGCCATATCATTAAATCTGTGATTATTAAGAACTATAAATACATTATAGACTTGGTTGAGAATATCAGCTTTAGACTTTTTAAAATCACAATTAAGGAATTTATAAATTGGTACCAGATAAATAGTCCTTAACCCACACTTTGGGTATAAAAATCCAAGTTAAGCAATTATTAAGGCGAAAATTTAGCAAGATTTTGTTCCTCTTTATTTGCTTCTGTCTGTTTAGATTATTGACAATTAGTCCATAGGCACAGAAAATAAAAATGACTGGCTACGCAGAGTCCAACTTTAAGACAGAAGCTTTGCTTTTCTGTCTCAGTAACCCAAATACAAGACAGAAACTCACTTGAAATGATTCTTAAGGTTTCATGGGAAGATAGCATGGATGGTTTAGAAAGTCACCTTCACAGGTTTAAATGACTTCTACAGACTGTCAACACAGTCTTATGCTCATGAACTTCAGAGCATAAGAAGGCAATGATGAAAGGGCAAAGTGTACAATTCATTTCAAGAACATCTCTTGGGTTAAACAATTGAATGTGTGGCTCTTTGGGTCACAGATCACTGATGAAGCAGAGAACCCTTCAGATTAGCTGTTATTTCAGTGGTCATTTCTACATTGGGAAATGAAACCTATCTGTGAACACTTTCGTAAGCTCAGATCTTGACTGAAGTTGATAAGCTCTCCCAGAAGGTGTCAATAAGTGCTAAGAAGAAAATATACATTGAAAATTTAATATGAGATATACATAGTAGAACCAGAAATCTTATTCTTTATAAAATGAAAGAACAAGATACAGGAAGGCATGGGAGCATTTGAAAGTTTTAATGACTAATAAGCATTTCCCTGGATTAGAGCCACTGAAAATGGATTTATAAAATAATGTTAAAGGAGAGATTTCTAAAATGAAGCGCTGAATTGTGAAACTAACAAATACACATGGTCAGAAAATTTTGGAATATAATATATACCAAATCTCTCTTTATGATTCCTCTCACTCATAAGCCCTGAGAATGTTTCCATCTAGTATCTGTTTAAATGTATCTGAGTATTTCAAAGTATCTTTTGCTATGAAAAATTTATGGATACAGTTTTATGCCACAAAATTTAAGTGGGACATCCTAACCTAGACGATATGTCCATACTAAAATATTTTTAATATCCTCTTAAGTATGAACAGTTTGTATTAGAATGCATAACACAGGTTGTTAGAAATGCAGTGAGCTATATAATAAAAGATGAAGCATGTTTCTAGGCATGTAAAAGTTAGTTGAGGAAAGTGACTTCATTTTGCTCATATTATGTAACTGTATATTTACTTGATGTGGAAAATATTTTAGTTGAATTTCCATTTACCTGACCAGCAGTATCTAGAATCTCCATGGAAACAACTTCATCATCAATGGTTGCTTGATGTCGGTACGTTGATTCTAAGGAATGAGCAAATAAAGAAGGCAAAAAAGTAAATAAATACTTTGCTTAAGAGTATGACCTGCATGTTCAAGCATCGTATTGTCTCTTTAGTATGAGAACCTGAAAGAGAAAAATAGAATCTTCTGGGTACACTAGACACTGGGAAAAGGAATGAACTTATTCAAAAAGAAAGAGTTACTGAGTTGAGGAGAAGGATAGGAGAGGGAGTGAGGGAAAGAGATTTATCTATGTATGTAAGCAGGATGCTTTGGATAACTGAGCTGTTGATTTCTGCTGGTCTATGGAAAGGAGCAGATAATGCTTTAATTTGTTTCATCTCCTTTTTCCAATTGTTTGTACTTCTTAATTTCTTACATATTTCTTTCTTCTAATTTTACATGCATATATCTGGAAATCTGAATAACTGGTTGAGAGACAATAAATACTACATACTACAACAAATACCATGAAATTCATATTACTTTGTTAAGTGAAAATCTGTATCACTTGTAATTTTTTTCTGTCTTAATTCTAATTTTTACTCTGTTTAAAAAATACAAGATTTAGCTGTACAGGGTTTCAGTGTAAATCCTGAAGGGATTTGACGAACTTGTCACATACAAAAGTTACGTAAGTCTTGTTTTATCTTGATCTTAACCATCCAGCATAAAAGTATAAAAATGAGGTATAAAAAGTAAAGTCAGAGTGAATGAGACAACTTGGGACCCGCGGGATCCTTAATAACCCAGAGCGCAGGCCCGGCAAGTGAGTGAGACGACCCGGGGCCCGCTGGATCCTGAACAGACTCAGAGCCCAGGCCCAATGTGTGAGAGAGACTGCCCCGGGACTGCAGATCCTCATTCGACCCAGAGTGCAGGTCCAGCGTGGAACCCTTCAGCAGAACTCCCTGCAAAGAGGCTAGAGGCAAGACCCACCCAGCTGATTCAGGAACAGAACATCTTACCAGTGTGACACAAAGGGTTCAATCTAACCACTGCAGCAGAAAGAAGTGGAGCACAGCAGCCAGATCCAAGCAATACCCACCTGGAGGAATCTGAACTTCATAGATCCAGACCTAGTGCTAAGGTAATAACTATCTAAGCTCTACACAAAAGGTCAGAAGACAGGTATACAAAATGACAAAGAGAAGGAACAAAATGCAGTCTCAGGCCC